TTTTTAAATTCATCATATGCGTCTTTACCCAAAAAAAAATATTGATAACATAAATTATAACGTACGAAATTTAACGTTTTAATGTTTTAATTTAATTTTTTTAATAAAAAAAAAACGCAGTTATTAATATGAATATTATTTGATTATGTGAAATAAAAATAAAAAAATTCTGTTCTTAAATTAAAGATACCACTAAAATTATCACAATTCAATAGCCTTGTAAAATAATTGTGAATGTATCAATTTATTTAAGATACATATAACAAATGACTTTTTTACAGCAAATGTTAAAACTCGTACATGCGACATTTCTTTCTGAAAATGTAAGCATTGTACAGCCCGTTTTTTTTTACATTTGTAAATTTATAGCGCGTACTAGTGACATAACTGTCTCGATATATCAAACTATGTACAGCCCGCTATTTTTATATTATAAGATTAAAGTCATCGTTTGTTTTGAAAGTGTAATATAAACTAAAACAAACTTTCATATATCAATATGACTTTTTATAGGCAGTTCTCAAAATCAAATTCATATGTATATATACAGAGTTTTCAGTAAATAAGGAAACAAGCCAATTGTTCCAACAACGAGAACAATATAAAGCCGTTCGCTTACTTACTGAAAACTCTATATATAATACAATATACAAAATATAATATATATATTTGTATATAAAGGTTATGATAAAAAAAGAGGTATCTATAACTAAAGAACCAACATTTTTGTTTAAATTTCATATAGTCAAATAATATTAATCAATTAATGTGAATCACTTTTTTTATCTATGATATCAAATCTCGTATATAATAATGTATGTATTCAACATTTTTCAAGTTGGAAAAAAGTCTAATGTAGTCTAAACTGTAGTGAAGTATATCTCAAAAATTTAATACATACAGTTGTATAGGTGCAACTAGTAGCTATTAGATATTAACCTCACAAAAAATGTAAGCTATATGTGTGTTCTTATATAAAAATATTCTTTAGGGTGAGAAAATAATAATAACTTCAACTGAAATTTTATTCTAGATGTGCCTATAGAAAAGTTTCAACGAAATGGTAAACAGATTAAGATTTATATTTAACAGCGATATAAACCACTATTGCAATACGTTTCAATTCAAATTGAATCACCGTTTAAAATTTTTGTACATTCAATAAAACATTGAATATTAGCTAATATAATTATTAATTTTTATGATTGAGAAGAAAAAATTAATTTTATTAAAAAGTATAAAATAACTCAAATTTATTATAAAGTTTCAATGTGTATTAAAATGTCATTTGTTTTTATATTAATTGTCATTTTGAATAAACAAGAATAGTAGCAAGTAGTTAATTAAAAATTGGTGTTCTCATTTGAAAAAACAATATTGAAATACATACAAGGTATTCAAGATGAACTTAAAAATTATTACATAGCTAATAATTCTTGAGTTAAATATAGAATTATTAAAAAACATCTTGAATAATTCTATCAGCTAAATTGAATTATTAAATCTAGCCTTCATTTGATATAATATTTCTTACAACTTTTCTGAATTACATTCAATTAAGTTAAGAATATATTAATTAGTTTATTATAATAAAAAAACAAAATGATAAATTTATTATTATTAAAAGTATACAGAAAAAATATTCAGTTATAGATTATTAAAGAAATATATGTATCTAATAAAAGCTAAAAGTTTACTCTTAATATTTTTCCAAGAGAAATAATATGGCCAACGTTAAATCTGAGAGCTAAATTTATCGATTTTACAAAACATTCTTGGAAGCAAAATAGTAAGCCATTACATAAAGTACCAATTGTCTTATGAAAAAATTCATATTATAATATTGGGAACATATCAGATTTTGGATAATATCACAAAAAATTAATCACTAAAACTAATAATTTAGCAGTGTCCAAACTTTTTTATTCAAAAAATATTAAAATAAAAAAATTGAATTGTACATCAACGTATATATACATAATTTTCAACTGTTTTAATTAAAAAATAAAATTTTATGATACAATATAATCATTACTACTTAAAAATTTCTATATTATTCTTGACCCTCTTCACATATTATTATTGTTAGTAATCATAACTATTGGTACTAATATGCAAATAAAGTATATAATATAATTAGGGAATATAACAAATAAAATAAAATTTCATTTTGATGAACAGTTGTTAAAATATACATGATAAATAAACAGCAATTATTTAACAATTTAACCAATGCAATTTTAAATTAATGAAATGTAATAGTTTTTTAAAGTAATTTTTTTCTGGATTAAGTTTAATTATAAAAAGTAAAAATTACCTTGATAAAAATCTATATTTTTGGTAATTTATTGAAATTTGCTAATATAATTATTAATTCATATGAACGATACTAAAAAATTAATTTTATTAAAAAGTATAAAATAACTCAAATTTACTATAAAGTTTCAATGTGTATTAAAAATCATTTGTTTTTATATTAATTATAATTTTGAATAAACAAGAGTACTAGCAAGTAGTAATGTTGTAAAAATTATTGATATTAGATAGCAATGGCAATATTTTAAAACTAATGTCATCAAATGCCTGTCTCTTTTTCTATTTTCTTCAGTGACATTTTTATTGATACAGAATAATATAATTAAAAGAAAATATATTATACATGTACATTAAATCAAAAGTTTAAAAATTTATTGTTTCATATTGAATAACGAATAAAGTTCTGTTAAAAATTGAAATGTCATAATATTAAAATAAAACTGCAAACTTTTCATTTAATTCAAAATTGGTGGTCTCATTTAAAAGAAAAATGTTGACATACACACAAGGCATTCAATATGACCTTAAAAATTATTATATAGCTAATAATTATTGAGTTTAAATATAAAATTATTAAAAAACATCTTGAATAATTCTATCAGCCAAATTGAATTATTAAATCTAGCCTTCATTTGATATAATATTTCTTACAACTTTTCTGAATTACATTCAATTAAGTTAAGAATATATAAATTATTTTATTATAATAAAAAAACAAAATGATAAATTTATTATTATTAAAAGTATACANAAACAAAATGATAAATTTATTATTATTAAAAGTATACAGAAAAATATTCAGCTATAGATTATTAAAGCAATATAATTATCTAATAAATGCTAAAAGTTGACTCTCAAAATTTTTTCCAAGAGAAATAATATGGCCAACGTCAAATCTGAGAGATAAATTTATGGATTTTATAAAACATTTTTGGAAGAAAAATAGAAAGCCATTACATAAAGTACCAATTATCTTATGAAAAAATTCATAATATATAATATATAATATTGGGAACATATCAGATTTTGAATAATATCACAAAAAATTAAACACTATAACTAATAATTTAGCAGTGTCCTAACTTTTTTATTCAAAAATTACTAAAATAAAAAAATTGAATTGTACATCAATGAAAATATATATATAATTTTCAACTGTTTTAATTAAAAAATACTAAAAATTTATTATACAACTTAATCATTACTATTTAAAAATAGATTTCTATATTATTCTTGACCCTCTTCATAAATTATTATTTATTATATAATTATTATTATTAGTAATCATAACTTTTGATACTAATATGCAAATAAAGTATATAATATAATGAGGGAATATAACAAATAAAATACAATTTCATTTTGATGAACGGTTGTTAAAATATACATGATAAATAAACAGCAATTATTTAACATTTTAACTAATGTAATTTTAAATTAATAAAATGTAATATTTTTTTTAAAGTAATTTTTTTCTGGATTAAGTTTAATTATAAAAAGTAAAAATTACCTTGATAAAAATCTATATTTTTGGTAATTTATTGAAATTTCAGATATTTCAAAATATTTTAATAAATGTACTTACGACAGAGATAAATTGGAAAGTTAAACAACAAACAATATGTATCGTACTGCATTTTATAGCTATTGAAAATTGTATTGAATTTTATTAAAACAAATTGTATCAACATAAATGACTTAATGTACATTCCATCAAACATTGATCACTTACTAATAAAAATAATCAATAATAATATAATTAATTAATCCGTATAAACGAGAAAAAAGATAATTAATTTTACTAAAAAGTATAAAATAAATCAAATATACTAAGAAAATGTCTGTATTTTTTAAGTCATTTGTTTCTATGACAACTGTAACTTTGAATAATTAAGTATACTTTACTATTATTACATTAAAATTAACCAGTAATTATGTTATAAAAACATGTTTTTTATGAAAAATAGAATGGCTAAAGTAAATTTGAGAGATAATTTATCAATTTCATAAAACATTTTTGGAAGAAAAAAAGTAAGCCATTATAGAAATTACCAATTATATTATAAAAAAATTTACATCAAATAGATAAAAACAATAGTAGTCTATAAATTGTACATTTTGCTTCATTCACAACTCTATCAGCTTTATTTTCTATTTCTCTTTTAAGTATAATATGAATACTCTTGAAACATTATTTAATGGCTTCACAGTTTTTAAATTTACAATTCAATCTAGTAATTAGTAATTAGTAATTAGCCCATAGTTTTTGTTTTTATATCCAAGTTTTTTTCCAATTCAACTAATTGACAATTCATTGGGGAAGAGAAAAATAAAAATATACACATTTAATCAAGTTAAAAAAACTTAAAGTTTCCTAAAATTTTTTAATATTTTAATAGAACAAACATATTTTATTAATATTGGTTTTTACTTTAATATTTTTTCACTTATCTGCAACCAAAAGATTTATTCTGTGACCATACAATGAGTATAATCGCTTTTGAAAATTTAATTCTAATTTTTGATTGACTCCATTAAATTTCCAGACATGATGTTAGCATAAACATAAGATTGTGAAATTATTTGAGCTTTAGTATTTAATTTACAAGTTTAAAATAATTTAAAACATTTGTTATTATTTATAACATCTAAAAATAAATCAAAAATTTTGTAGTAATATTAGTGTTTATTAATTGTATATTTCTTTTATTAATGCTCATTTTAAAATTTATTACCTTTCTTCATCAAACATTATATTAAAAGTCTGTTTACTAATTTCTTCTACAATTGAATCTCTTATTCTATTTGCACACATTTCAATTATTTAATTTTGAATATGATGACTAGTGTGATTTGTTTCTTTGTTGAATATTTCAGAAAACTTAGGTATATGCTTGGAAAATAAAACACAAGTTTTGTTGAAATTTCCCAAGAAAAATTATTTATTAAGAAATTAATAATTATATCTTCTCAGTTTTAATTACTTATTATTAGGTGATAAGATTGCTTAAATTAGTTCCCTACGTTGATTTAATGATGAATTATTTTTATTGTGTCAGGCCATTCTTTGGATACTCAATAAATTGTTATGTTAATTAGACTTTTCATATATTCCCTATTAGCGGCAAATTTTAGTTTAAATTGAGTTATTAGCTGGGTATGAACATGGTCAGTTTTTTAACAGTTATTTACAAGTTAAATGAGTTTTTGTACTAGAATGAGAATCATGCTTTGTTTTCCATTTTTAAGACCTCTAGATCCACATAACTAATAAATATAAAAAATAAATAATTAAAGTTAATTTTTGAATAATAATTATGCCATACACAAAAATATTCAACCTATTAAAATGAAGGATTCAAGCGATGGTTTTGTTAATGGAATTAACTAAATATAATTCATTAGATATTAATAATAGGTTAAATAACAATTAAAATATGTATTTAATATACAATATAAATACCTTGCTGTTAGTTTTATACATGATTTACCTCTTATTTAAATCTTTTTGGATCAGACTGTAAATCGCCAAAATCAAAATCCTAGTTGCCTATAGATTATGTAATATGGTTTTTTATTATTTCTTATTTGATTAGAGTCATAGCTATTTCAGGATTTTTTGGATTAAAGATAACAAATAATTTTGAATTCGTTCATTTATTAACAAATTAATA